TTTAATTATTTTGCCCTTTTATTTTGCCTTTTTATTGTATTTTAAATGCTGTAAGCCGCCCAGAGACCTTCGGGTAGTGTGGGCGGCATAATAAGTTATATAAACAAACAAACAAACAAACAAACTTTATTATAACACATTTTATTATATTGGTACCTTTTGCAAGGCTTGTGAGAATGGCTGATGGTCAGATTCCAAAGGATCTCCTGTATGGAGAATTAGTGGAGGGCAATCGCCCCAGAGGGAGACCACAGCTGCGATACAAGGACATCTGCAAACGGGATCTGAAGGCCTTAGGGATGGACCTTAACAGATGGGAAACCCTGACATCTGAGCGTTCAGCCTGGAGGCAGGCGTTGCATCACGGCCTCTCCCAATTTGAAGAGACCCTTGTCCAGCAGGCCGAGGCAAAGAGGCAGTCACAAAAGCAGCAAAGTCAGGGAGCTGCACAGGGGACATACTGTGTTTGTCTTCAGTGTGGTAGGGATTGTCACTCTTGAATTGGCCTCCTCAGCCACACTAGATGCTGTTCCAAGTCCTCCATACAGAGCACGTTACCATAGTCTTTTGAGACTGAAGGATGCCTAACTGGTAACCTTTTGCAAAGACTGAAGGCAGCCTCAATGAAATCACTATAATATTACTACAATGTTACATAGAATCATACAATAATTGAGTTGGAAGCAGGGGCCTAATAGTGCAAGCCCCTGCTCAATGCAGCTATTTGCCTTATAGTAACTGCATTCTTTGCTTGTAATCCTTTTGAGTAGCGTAATAAATCCCAACTAGGCTGTGAAACTGATGAGTCAGTTTCTCCATAGGTTCCATTGATTCCGTGGGCCTAATCTAGTTGTGACTTATTATGCAAATATACGGGATTTGAGCCATAGTTTACACTCACAGTTGTTCTCCAGGGTTCTTGCTTGCATGCAAAGCCAACACATAAGCAGAAGCCTCTCCTTTTCAGGCTAGCTGTCGCTTGCACGAGCAGAGCAATGGCTGGGTGCAAGCTAGGGTTGGAGCAAGCCTCTTCCCTCTCAATGTATTGATGATCCTGTACAGTATAGGGCTTTTATGATGAAAGAGGAAGACTGATATATTTTGAACAAACCAACAAAATAAACCTCCCAGGGAAGAGCATGAGAAACCATGTAAATATCTTGTGAGGTTTCAAAGAAACTGCCTTTTGAAATATCATCCCAGGTTTCTCATTTCTAATGAGAACAATCACTCACATTTTGGGGGTTGGTATAACACAGAGCCAGATAAACATCTGTAAGTGACTCCGCATGTCGAACAAGCTGCCTGAGCAATGATTTTTTTAGAAATTCAAATCAAACCAAGAAAAAGTCCGACACCCCAGACAGCACCTCGAGTAGATTTCCTGTATCAATGTTCAATCTCTGTACCACCTTTAAATAAATGTGAAGTGTTTGGGGTGGGGCGAAATCACAGAGGCAGAAACTCAGCATTGACTTTGACATGCCTGTCCAGAGGGACTGAAGAATTTACATTTCACCTTTGAGCCTGAAGAGATGTCACCCTATCAAAAGCTGTGTCAACAAAAGTCCCTGAATGACATTTGAAACATCCAGCAAAGGCAATTTTGTTGTATGGGAAAGGGCCTATGGTTGCTTCAATATATAATTACTACAGGATCGGCCTAGATTCTTACAAAAAGCACCAAACTCAGGCCATTAAAACTTTGACATCTGAAGAGACATACTTATCTGCAATAAAAAGGTAGTCCAGATCTCACAGATTTTTTTTAAAAAAGGATAATTATTTGCAGGCTAGCTAATTAATAAATACAGGTTAATTTTAAAACTATAATAAAAACAGACGAAACTTGACATTACACAACGTTCTTGTGTCTGTTAGCAAAAAGTTATGCCACAGGGATAACTGCCTGAGTAAGTGTGTGCTCATGTGGAAACATAATTTAACAGCATTTCCACGATACTGTACATGTTGTCATATATATTAACAAAATGTTACTATGTTGGAGACTAATGATAACAAAAACATCAATTATTTATTTATTTATTTATTTATTTATTTATTTATTTATTTATTTATTTATTTATTTATTTATTTATTTATTTATTTATTTATTTATACCCCGCCTATCTGGTCACTGAGACCACTCCAGGCGGCTATAAATGAAATAATGAATAACAATAAATGAATAACAGCAGAAGTATATTCTTATATGTCCTTGCATATCAAGAGCAAACTCAATTCTATTTTTGCTTATCTTTATGTGGTAAAAGTGACACTAACGAAAAAGAAGTTACCATCAGGCTGGGAGAACCCTATGTCTGTAAAATGTATAGGAGCATCATTACAAAATAACAGCCCAATGAGGACTAGTATGTCCAGCAGGTATGGGATGTTGACGGTTTTACGGAAGGATGAGAGAAGAATGGAAAACTAGTGGTAAGGAGAGAGAGAGAAGGAACAGACCAAACATTATGGAAGAAAGCATATTTGGTTGGCAGAAGAGCTGAGCTTGGACAAGTTACCTTTTAGACTATTGGTGACTGGCCATGCTGACTAGGGAATCACAATAGTTGTGGTCTGAATTATCAACTTTTCCGAACTCAGCAGATACTCTATTTGTCACAAACAATTTTCTACAGGGCCCTTTTGTTCATAAACAAAATCTCCCTGACTGACAATTCAAGGCAATAGTAGGGGCACTTGTCGGTCCTAAACTCCATGTGGTCAGCAGGGTCCACTACATGTTCTTGGCCCTGGGAATAGGGACACTGGCTGTAATTGCTTGGAGGTGCTCTTTGAACCTTTGCACAGCAGCACCCAAAAGCCCAGTCTCCATAGCAATTTTCCTTTGGAAAAGACCAGGTAAAGGGCAGTACTAGACACTGGTTACTAACGTCCACAGACCTCCTTTAAGAAACAGCATCCAACAGCAACCAAGATCTTCTTGTAGAGCTATGCCAACATAATGCAAATTGCCTTCAGTTAATACCATAGACATTCTCTGTTGCAGGCAAGTAGGCAAGAACACAACAGATATTTCCTATGGTGATTTCCTAATTTCACAAAGTTCACCTCCAAAAGTTATATTGTTTGCCTCATGTTGCCGTAACAACTCAAGAGGATTTTGGCTGGCCAGAATGCACCTTTCCTAATACAGATGTTTCTGTAAAAAGAGCAGCTAGAAGGGAACATGCTACAGTATTTCAGTTCTTTAAGGCAAAATTTTTTTTCCACCATGCCTAACAATCATTTAAAAGCAGGAAGCAATACAGCACTATCAAACAGAGGAGTATGATGCATTTATTAAGTTGCTAACAGTTCTGAAACTAAATGAGTGCAAGTTAGACAGAACTAGTTAACAAACCTACATGCAATAGTTACCTTTTTATGCAGAGCGTGAAATTCACTATACCTCTTTTCGACAAAGTGTTTTCTTCCATTCGTTAGTACTTCTATTTTAAAGACCTGTAAAAACAATGGATAAGGTTACCTTTTATCTACTCAAAATGTACTTTCCTGATAGATTAGCTTTCTGATAGGTTTCCTTCCTTTAATCACTGTAGTTCCTCTCCACCAAAGGGAAGGCCGGTAGGAGATACTAAGGAGCAGCAATGATTAATGAATACTCTGACTAAACCCTCTACTCACCACTGGGTTCTGCAGAGGCATCTAAGGACTGGATTTGTGGTGCTTCAAAAACTTGTATTATGCCATCTTTATATCATCTAGAATTTATTTACTATGACAGACAAGAAAATTACATTTTAAAAATCTATAAATACAAAAGAAACCAGGAATGTGTCTCATTTAATCACATACTACAAAACATTAATAAACTAGCACATGTACAGTTTAGTGACAGATGAGTGTATCTTGTAGAGCGCAGAAGATATAAATGCAAAGACGACATTGCAGGTTAATTTCCACCTAACCTACATATTCATCTCTTGTCTCAGCTGGGCTTGTTCTACTCTTTGCACCAGTTAAAAGAAATGTGCTACATGCTCATTTTCTGTGCATGATGTGTATGACAGCTTTTGCTGCTGCCTGAAGAAAGTTGAAAGGGCAGATGAAGAAGCTCCCTGTATCCACTAATTAGTAGCCACAACCATGACATCTTCTTGATTTACGAGTCACAGGGTCAGATTCTCAGGGCAGGTGACAAGAAATACCTCAAACACTCATGAAAACGTAATGCAGCAAAATCAGGATCAGTTAAAAAAACACTCACATATATTTACAATATTTATTTATTTACAAGATTTTTTTAGCCATTACCAGTGGTCTCTGAGTGGCATTGCTTTCCTAAGATGTGCTCTATTAATAAACCCCTGGGTTTGACCCACCGAGGACCGCCAATATTAGGCACAGGACTTAATTCTAGATCAGAGGTTTATCTCTTTGAAAAATGAACTGATGGCAGGGTTTTGGATAGAAATTCTTCCTGAATACTTAAAACAGCACAATGTAATACCAAATCCTCTTAATATGGCTTTAAAACATTGCTCTTTATGACTGATAGTAGTTAATAATGTTCATGCAGTTCAAAGAAACTTGAGAGAATGCACATTTCCAGCTCTTTAGTTCACTTCTGTGATGGGAATGGTGCCATCTGTTTTCATTGCAGTCTCTGTCTATGTGTGTGTTATGGAATTCTTCTGGACTCTGTTTTGAACAATTTAAAAATGCACAAAACTACTGAATGAGGTCTTTGAAGAACTTGGAGTAAAGTTAGTATGTTGGTGAGACTCAGCACTATTCTTTCCTTTTCATTAAAATCAGGTGATAAGCCGGAATGTCTCTGGCATCCTTTATGGAGTGGACAAAGTGAAGTTCCATCAAGTGAAGTCAATACTTCATTTTAGGGAGTTTTCTTGAGTAAGAAGTTGGGATTCAGCCCCTTCTGATTGGATTTGTAATTCAGGATAGAAATCCCTTAAGAATCAGGCTCAAAATGTAAGGTTTATGTTAGATACTCATCTCACTCTGGACATATAGATGGCACCTATATGGTCAGAGGCATTTGTACAGCTCTCCTGAACAGATACGGCCTGGCTACTAATTCCTCTTAACCCAGTAACATCCAGATTGGGGCTCTGCTAGGGATTGCCTTAGAAGAAAACAGGTATACACTAGGGCAGCTAGATTGCTGAAGGCATAGGTCAATTGGATTGCTGATAAGTATGGCTCAATCGAACTTTTCTAAGCCAGTTTAACTAATTTTCTATGCATTCCAGGCTGACCATCTCATGTTAAGTAATATATATCCTAGGGCTAACAATATTTGTTCTCCTAGGCATCCACCCAGTGCTGAAATGTTCTTATCAGGTTGAGCAAGGGATGACTTGTCAGTGCTGGTGACTGACATGTAGAATGCAAGGAATGTTAAACAGGGCCTATCCTATAAACGTAGATGTGAAGTGAAAATATTTATATCCACCGATTCCTTTTTGATAAGTGTTGTCTTATTTCTAACATTTTTAAAACATGGCTGCTTTCTGCTCTTTATAGCATTCACAACTGGCTTATTTTGATTTTATCCTTACTTTATTAATTCTGTAAGCCACTTTGAAAATCTGTAATTGAAATGTTTAAAATCAGTAAAGATACCTCTTGGGTCTTCGCTATTTGAAGGGTTGCATCACCCCATATAAGCCTCCTTGGTTTCTAGGCCCTTCTGGGAGGGGACCTTCTCTTGGTTCCACCACCTTCTCAAGTTCCTTTGGTGAGGACACAAGAGAGGGCCTTCTCAGTGGCTGCTCCCAGGCTTTGGAATGCATTGCCCAAGAATCCAAGCTGGCCCCCCTCCCTCTTGTCCTTCTGTTGTCAGGCAAGCTTTTAGGTGTCTAGGGTACACTCTATTTTTTTGAAATTTAGATATTTTAATTTTTAAAAAAATGTTTTCAAAATTGTTTTTCATTCTGAGTAATATTTGATTTGTGTTTAATATATTATATAGTTTTGTATGGCATTTTAAATTAATTACTGTATGATTTTAATTGTTGTGAGTCACCTTGGATCCCGTATGGGGAGAAAGGGAGCAGATGGCTAGATGGCTAGATGGAAGGACGGATGGATGGAAGGGCAGACAAACGGACATGGAAATTGTGTTGTTGACTTTTAAAGGAGGTTTCCAGTTTCCTCACGTTTCCTGACTGCAGCCTGTTTTCAGAACCAATGACCATTGCACAATTATGCTAACAGTGTAACTATCGAAGGCAATTTGCCATAAACAAATTTGCACAACTCAGTATGCAAGAGATAACATCTAGAGATTTCTTAACTTACGGCAATAGCCTTCCAAAAGTTATACCATATATGTAATTGCACAACAGGATTTCAGCTGCTGGTTACTGAACCAGCTCCTGTTCTTCGCACAGCCTTCCTTAAAAACCTGTCTCTTAGTCGTGCTCAAGTGGGCATACAGCATAACTGGGACTAATGACTTAGCAAACATAGATTGAGCACAATGTACAAGAGAATTAAGGTAGTGACGCTCAGGTATTCTTGTGGGAGATGGCCTCAGAACTCTGACTCAACATGTTTAAAGACTACTGAACCCCTGTCCTCCGCTCATCCAAGAATAATTTTTAAAACCATTCATTCACACCATGCTGTCTTCCCTCTTAGTTACAGAGGTGAGCATATCAAATCACAAGCAGAATCTGTATGAGAACAGACAGCATACATTCGCCCATCACCACAACTTGTTCTCCTAATTCTGCAGGTGTAAACCTTGAACACCAAAGTTCATGATCACTTTGTTTTTTCAAGAACTTTGCACAAAACGGTGTTCATGCTGCATTGGCTTGCAGGTATGAGAGATATTGGCCTTGGTTTCCTTGAATGGTTTAATTTTTGTTTCAAATTCAGTCACAAATCAAAAAAAAATGTGCAAGGACTTGCTCACCCATGCTACAGAAACACGTAAGCAAGCAAGGAAGTACCCCTTCTCATAATTTTTGTTTCAAATTCAGTCACAAATCAGAAAAAATGTGCAAGGAGTTGCTCACTCATGCTACAGAAACAAGTAAGCAAGGAAGGAAGGAAGTACCCTTTCTTACAAACCATAGCCCCAATTCTGAATAGCAATCTTTCCTGGAAGCTGCAACTTTAAAGCTGACATAAGTGTCATTAAAAGTATAGACATATTGAATTTGTTTTCTAATCTAGTCCTTCCAGTAAGTAGCAAATAACATAGACAAACCTACATAACCGCCTTTTAATGGTGTAACTGATAAATGCATCAGATAGAACAGATCAGATCTGCAATAATTTGGCACTTAAATAATCCTAATTTCTCTTAATAGGCACAGTAATGTACACCTAACCAATTTTTTTACAACATGGAACGAATGCTTACAGAGACAATAACCATCCATTTAAAACATCCGCTAGAATTTAAGTTATGTAAATGAATAACAGAATTTATAGCTATCAGTATGAATCAAGTGTGGAAACTCATATTTTTCTCGAGCCATCATGCCAAAAAGATGACATTTTATCTCATAACTATCAAAAGGCTGGAAAGGAAGACGTGGGGGCTGTTAAATCAAAGCTCTGTTTTAAGAACTCTTTTTAGGAAGCCATAACAAAGTCTTTCATGGTTTTTGGATGAATTTTAATAACAGATGGCTTTGTTTAAAATGGATTTTTGACACACAACAGTAAGTCATCATCTGATTACCTAGTTATTATAAAAACTCAAATAAAATTATACATTACAGAAACAGTTTATCTCCCAATCCTGAAGCACAGGAGTGTATACTTCGAAAGTTTTAGGACCATAATACATGGCTTTCCAGTTCCCACTGCACTATTCTGAATGTTATGTCTGGGAAACAGTGGCCCAGTTCAGACATAATTTTATGCAGAAGCATAAAGGCCTGAGTTAAGACGCTGTTTGTATACTCAGCTCTACCATCACCTCTTCTCACAGGTTAAGGTAGAGGATTTATTTGAGATCCAGGTTCAATTTCTACAATTCTTTATAAACTAGGCATAATGGTTTTAAACAATTGCAACACGAAGAACCAACAGCATTAGGTTGGCTTTAGCTCATCCTCTCTGCTCAGATAGACTGATAGATGGGGTCACACAGAACCGGCTAGTGGTCTGTATGAGATGAGACTATACCTCAAAGATAGCTATGAAAATCTTCACTTGTCAATCTTGCAGTGACTTTTTCCCCTGCCAGATGAGAATACAAGAATTTTTTTTCTGCATTTATGGTATTTAGGTATTTTTTTGTGGAAAAGTAGGAAAAATGTTAGTTGCAGTAGAAAATATGATTTTTTTTTTGCATAAAGAGAGTTTATGTGGTGCAGAAAATGTGTTCTATACATAGTATAGGACTTCCCCCCCTCCCCGATAATCCAAGTCTTTACCAGCACTGCTACTGACAATAACAACAATTAGAGAAACACTACAGGGCTTTTTGCTGTCCCACAGGAGTGAAAAATCTC